TACATGCTACCTTCCGCCATCATGACGAGGCCACACCCCCCCTCCAGGGGTAGCACTTTTTTCAAGTTTTTTTTCCATACATTCCCTGCCCGCATTAAATATCCCGCAATGTTACACTATGCACTCTCACTAGATCTTGCTTTTGTACCTTGCATGCGTGTGCGGGACCCAATTTCGTTATAGGATTTACCATGCATGTATATACAGTACATTCATCCCCTTTCCTGTACTACATATCTAGCTGCAACGTATTCTTAACTATGCCTTCCAATGCTTATATTAAATTAGTACTGTATTTGCATTTATGTGTGATTGATATCTACATCCACTCAATTTTTATTGTCCAGTGGGGATCTTTTTTATATTCAAAACATCTTTACTGAAACAAATAAAATAAAATGTAAGAGAAATCTATATATTAATAGCTAAAAGCTCAATGAATAGGTTGCAAAACGGCTAAGTAACTACAAGTAGACATACTGGGGAGAATTTATCAAAACTGGAGCAGACAAAATCTGAAGCAGACAAAATGAGTGCATGGCAACCAATCACTTCTCTCTTCAGTTTGTTCAGTTAAGATTTGAAAATTAAAGAGAGAATCTGATTGGTTTCCATGCACAGCTGCTCCAGATTTTGGCTGCTCAAGTTTTTATAAATTCCCCTCTATGTATGTCGATGACCAGATGTGGAATCAGTGGATAGCTTCATCATAGTAGTGCAGAGTCAATTTGTAGTAGGAAGATCAGAATAAGAGAGTGCGTTCCATTCCATGTCAATGAATCGATTAAAAATAAATAAATAAAGAGGGCATCAAAGAGACAATTTCCATCACCATCTAAGGTACCAGATAGGTATGTACAAAAATCAGAAGTTAAACTATGCAGGAGTACAGATTATAAGGGTAGAGGAGAGACAGCTAGGGATGGGAAAAAGGAGCAGAAAATAGTAGGGACGGAGAGCAAGACGGGTAGAAACAGGCAGAGGAAAGGGAAAGTTGAGAAGGAAGGAGCAGAAAGAAACAAAGCATAAGGAATAAGCGACCCTCCAGACCAACTACCAATGAGGAACAACATAGAAGTCTGCTCTTGGAGAAAGCACAGGGACTCAGCCCAGTGGGGATCTCTATAGGTCCATTTGTATGTTGTTTTGCTCCCTTGGGTTTGGCAGTGTACAGGACATTGTGCCAGTCTGCCCTGCACACATCACCATCTCATATTATGCCACGCCAGCCTGCTAGCTCCAGTGAGCATACCGCCACTGCTATGGGAACTGGGAGGTTGAGCTCCCACTTCCCAGAGGCGTGTGCAAATCTCACGGGAAGGTCTGGATTTACTCTCTCTGCTGCCCCAAGGCCAGGTTCCTCAATGCGCCCCCCTACCCATCAAACCCCAATGGAGAATGGCAGACCAGCAGGCTGCATACAAGTGATCTTGGTGACATCGCCGAGATCACTTGTTCAAAACAAGCGGCGGCTTCCCTGCTGTACATTCAGCTCTGCTTGCCCAAAGCAGGGCTAAATGTAGAAAACAACTACACGCCTGGCGCCCGGAACTGCGTGTCCCGGGCGTCGGGAGCTAGGAATTCCACACCCCTGCTGCCCCTCTACTCCCTGCTGCCCCGAGGCCGAGCCTTGGTTGGCCTTGTGGGAAACCCTGCCCTGCTCACCGCTTATCTTCCCACTGATACTATGGAAACCAGGGGCAGAGCCTAGTCCACACCCCATTGGTGTGTGCAGCTCTCCCCAACTGACATACTTGTGGAGGCAGAGTTGAGCCTAAACAGTCAATCACTGAAGACTGTGTGTGAGCCACTCCCACTTGCCAGCACAGGACCTAGAAGTGAGCAGCCTGTATTAAACAGGTTTCTTTATAATAACGTTTTTATCAGCAACCTTATAGGTTTACCTATGATACAAATGCTTCAAGTATTTATGACAGTTCCAGTATAAAATTATTTATATGTAAATGTATCTATTATTCTTTCAGGTAATTCTTTTTGAATTCTGGTTGGATTATTATGTCATTATGAACCCTCCAGATTGTTATCAGACAAGTTCAGTCTCCTCAGTGTCTGGTTATTTCTTATTCCAGATGCCAGGTCGGGGCAGGATCTGTCTGTCAGATGATTATTATACAAACTGTAGAAGAAGAGAAGAATGTTACCAGAAGACAATGCATTTCTACCCCAGGAATGAATGTAACTATTCTCTACATGTCCGTGAAGGTTCTCATTCATCCAGGTCATGGTATATCTGTAAAAAATAAGTCAAGGCAACTGGACTTGCTGTATTTTTCTGGAAGAAGTTTCACTGGTCATGCAACCAGCTCTCTACATGAATGGAACTCATTTCTCTTTATTGGAATCATTTATGTTCCATCACTTTATAAAACTCCAGGAAATAGAATTTTATAAGAGAAATATTATAATGGAGTAGACCCCCCAATATTGTCACCCATGTGTAGAGACGATGATATCTCCATACACAGGATGAGCACAGAATACCACGGACATGACTCGTATTGTGCTATAATCTCCTTGTGTATGGAGCATGAATGGTATCAGCAGACAGTGTGAGGAATCAGCATTGCTAGTGATTGGACGGGATGATTTGTATCTGATATTCTATTTATCTCTGCTGATAAGAGCTCTGTACTCATAGGAAGTAATGGGGAGATCCCCCGACACTGAATAGAGGATGGTTATGTCAGATGAAAGAAATATGTATGAGGCTCTGATTGGTCATTGCAGTAAGATCAGATACCCTGTGTATGACTTCCTATTATCTCATCTATATTAATATCAGACTCAAGTTCATGTTTATATATTAAAGTTCTTAGATAAAGTTAATTTCATATCTGATAACAGAGTGTGATAAGATTAGAGAACAGTCCGTGATTGGCTACTTAGGGAGTCCAATAATGAGATCCATTTTATTTACATTATCAGATTATTTTCATAATTGTAATATTAACCCCTTAATGATGAAGTGGAAACAAATCTTAACCCCTGAATCCAGTTTTCCAGCTTTGTGATGTGTTAGTAAATCTGTTCATATCTTTGCAGCTACTTAGTGTATCCGGGTGAATTATACTTTGTTATGTTCGGGACATTTCATTCATTTGGTAGTAAATGGTAATGGATATCTCATCTATCATCTGTCTGACTTTTTTAGTATTAAAGGAAAACCGGCCATAAATAGTAAAAAAGTAATGCATAACTGTATACTTATTGCTATTGGCATTACCCACCGTGAAAGAACACAAAATAAATTCTCCTCTCCTGACATTCACAGCAATACCATATATGTGAGTGTTATTTGTTGCTTATACTCATAGTAGAGCCCAGGAACAATAGTGAGCATTGTGTTTTTGTATCCTTCCTAAAACACACTCACCCTAACACTAACACTGTCACCCATTCACACCAGATGTGTAGGGACTCTGCTGGCTATTTTTTCCCCCACGGCCAGAACATGAGACAAGGTCATTTGCTTTGTTCCAGATGAGCTCAGATCACTCACTGCATTACCCTGGTGTGCACTGAAAATGTTTGGCATGTAGTGCTTTATTTAGCGTAGTACAGTGCAACTCTGCACACCCAAATCCCACCGTGCTGTGCCCATAGAACTTAATAAAATGTTACTTATGACTTTTTACTAGATTTCTAAGAAAAGAGTATAGAGTGCGATGTGTCAAAATCAAACCTAGCAGCACTGTGCCAGACACATGCACACCAGCAACCAACCATGTGATGCAGCACAACTACAGCTGTGAATGGGCCCTGACACTATGGCTGGGTACACATTCACAGATGTTTATCTCAATCTTGCAGGTTTAACAAAAAGAATATGACAGTTTCCTCCATCCATTCTAACAGCATGAATGAACACATCTCCCACTGTGTAGATTGTATTCTGACAGTGGTGGCCGCTGATGTCAGAACACAAAGTTAATTGGCTGCAAGCACTGTTCAGCTGACAATGTTCCTCTTTATCCTCACAGAGTAGAAAGAGATTAGAGAGGGTTATACAGCTAAGAATCACTATGAGAGCCTGTGATTGACTATCAGAGAGATCAGGAACTGGTCCTCCATCCTCCTGATTGTTAGAACGAGTCCTGGAAATGTTAGTGCCAGCTTGGTCTCTGTGTTGGGGACACGATATGGAGCATGCTTCCAGTACAAACACATGTACACATATATGCAGCCACAAAAGAAGGAGTCCTACTTCCATGAATCCCTATGTATGTGTACACTCATCAGGAAGGAGTTAAACTGTCCCAGAATATTATTGTCTCAGTCAGTCCTGTTATACTCACTGTAATTCCTCTATCCGGCTTGTTTTCAGAGCTGCCATCAGATCCCTGAAATGAGGACCCTCCAGACTGTTCTCAGACAGGTCCAATTTCCTCAGTGTCTGGTTATTTCTTATTCCAGATGCCAGGTCGGGGCAGGAAATGTCTGTAAGATGATTATTCTTCAAACTGTAGAAGAAGAGAAGAATGTTACCAGAAGAATATGAATTTCTCCCCCAGGAATGAATGTAACTATTCTCTACATGAATGGAACTCATTTCTCTTTATTGGGATCATTTATGTTCCATCACTTTATAAAACTCCAGTAATATAATTGTATAAGAGAAATGTTATAATGGAGTAGACACCCCAATATTGTCATCCCCCTCTGTTACTCTGTTACGCCACCTCCCCTCTTAACTTCCATATTCAAATAACAGACCACACAGTATTGGATATAAAATGGCTGTAGCAGCCCTTTATTACAAAATGTGAAACGTAAACAAATACTTATAAACATTAAATTGCTGTAATTAATAATTACTAATTATGTGTGTGTCCATGTACACATACACACCTATATACAAAATATATGTATACACATGGCCACACACATAGAGCCTCAGGTCCGTGAAGGCCCTGTTACCCTAACACAAACCATCTCTGCATAACCACTTATTAGCAAGGCCCCTAGTCGCAACACACCAATTCAGAGATAACCACAATTCTGCAGAAACATTTTAAACATAATACTGGTAACCATATCTGCTGACTCCGCCACAGCAAGGAAGTGTGATACCTTACACTTGGGTGCCCCGCCACACCCGAAGAGCCCTCTGAATTCCCTTCTGTAGGCACAGGAACCACATGTCGGTGCCCACTGCATTCAGATGAACCCCATCCCCACTGTCAGTCAGTGCCTGGGTGGAGACTGAGCTGACCAGAGGGCTACCCTTTCACCACTAGTCCAGCTCCCCTGGAGATGATAACAGGAGGAGTGGGGACTCAGGGACGCACAAGTGCCACTGCATTGGTAAACACGGTTTCTGAATTTGAGTGCGTTGACCTCAGTATGGTAATGGCAGAGATTGGGCCACAGGCTGGGCAGCAATGTGGAGTAATGGGCTGGAGCGAACTTGAAGAGACACAGCACAGAGACCAAGCAGGAAAGCCCAGTAGATGCCACAGGTGAATCAGGAACGTAATCGAGGTCACAGGCCAGGGTCATTCACAGTGAAACACTTGCAAGGATAAGGTGCCAAATCGAGAAACACAGAATAGTCAGGGTCACAAGCCAGGATCGAACACAAGGAAGCCAGTTGCCGGGTAGTGCCAAGTCGGTAATCAAAAGCAGAGTCAAGGATGGAGCCGGGTCAGAACACAGGAAGCCAAGCAGCAGGATCAGGAGACAGGAAACCTGATACAGCTGAGACCACTCAGCAATGGATTTCTGGACTCACACTGACTTTATAGTGGATCAGACGTCACTGAACGTGCATGCGTAACAGCATGAGTAGTGAGCTGACGTTTGCGTGCACGGAATCCAATACATGTGCGCCCGTTATTAGGAGCATATTTGCCCTTAAGCCTAAGAACGGGAGCACGCTGCGGGGCATGCGCATGAACCCGGCTTTCTGGTAAGTAAGTGGCAAATATTGCCAGGTATCCACTCTCGATGACGTACAACCAGACCCCCTTTACGCACAAAAAAGAGGCCAACTTCCTTGTTCACCTTAATCCAGGCTTTGTTCAAACGTTCCACTGACCTAGCCAAATGCCAGAACATGTGAGCCACAATCTCCTACCATACAACTACGGTCCCCAGAAACGCTGAACGAAGCCGGAGAAAATCCAACTTTATATCATGGATTGGCTCCCTCATGAAACGTAGGCCTAGATCGTTCCCATCGACATGCAGTATCAATATCATGCAGAACCCTCTCCAACCGCATAAATGTATGCACTTCAGGGACTACCCTACTCTATAGCATACCCGGCATACCTGTCCAGTGAACGTCAGCAGAGCTTCTCGAAATGCCCAGTTGTCTCCCATCAGGACGAACATCCGCCCATCTGGCCCCCCAAAACACATACACTATATTGCCAAAAGTTTTGGGACACCCCTCCAAATAATTGGATTCTGGTGTTCTGTGAAATTTCCTTGCTACTAAATATTCCGCGGTCACCTGTTAGTGGTATTATAACAACGTGGAAGCAACTGGGAACAACAGCAACTTAGCCACGAAGTGGTAGGCCATATGAAGTGACAGAGCGGGGTCTGCACATGCTGAAGAGCACAGTGCTCAGAAGTCGCCAACTGTCTGCAGAGTCAATAGCTACAGACCTCCAAACTTCATGTGGCATTCAGATTGGCACAACAACAGTGCATAGAGAGCTTCATGGAATGGGTTTCAATGGCCGAGCAGCTGCATCCAAGCCTTACATCACCAAGTGCAATGCAAAGCGTTGGATTCAGTGGTGTAAAGCACGCCGCCACTGGACTCTAGAGAAGTGGAGACGTGTTCTCTGGAGTGATGAATCACGCTTCTCTGTCTGGCAATCCGATGGACATGTCTGGGTTTGGCGGTTGCCAGGAGAACGGTACTTGCCTGACTCCGTTGTACTAAGTGTAAAGTTTGGTGGAGGGGGGATTATGGTGGGGGGTTGTTTTTCAGGGGTTGGGCTTGGCCCCTCAGTTTCAGTGAAGGGAACTCTTAAGGCATCAGCATAACAAGACATCTTGGACAGTTTCATGCTCCAAACTTTGTGGGAACAGTTTGGGGATGGCCCCTTCCTGTTCCAACATGACTGCGCACCAGTGCACAAAGCAAGGTCCTTAAAGACATGGATGAACGTGTTTGGGGTGGAGGAACTTGACTGGCCTGCACAGAGTCCTGACCTCAACCCGATAGAACACCTTTGGGATGAATTAGAGTGGAGACTGCAAGCTAGGCCTTCTCGTCCAACATCAGTACCTGACCTCACAAATGCGCTTCTGGAAGAATGGTCAAACATTGCCATAGACACACTTCTATACCTTGTGGACGCCTTCCCAGAAGAGTTGTAGCTGTTATAGCTGCAAAGGGTGGGACAACTTAATATAGAACCCTACGGACTAAGACTGGAATGCCATTAAAGTTCACGTACGTGTAAAGGCCGGCGTCCCAATACTTTTGGCAATATAGTATATATGCATACACTTGGCAGGAAGGGGTTAAAGTGTCCCAGAATATTATTGTCTCACTCAGTCCTGTTATACTCACTGTAATTTCTCTATCCAGCTCGTTGTCAAAGCTTCCATCAGATCCCTGAAATGACGACCCTCCAGATTGTTCTTAGACAGGTCCAGTGTCCTCAGTGTCTGGTTATTTCTTATTCCAGATGCCAGGTCGGGGCAGGAAATGTCTGTCAGATGATTATTGTCCAATCTGTAAAAGAAAAGAATGTTACCAGAAGAAAATGAATTTCTCCCCCAGGAATGAATTTAACTATTCTCTACATGAATGGAACTCATTTCTCTTTATTGGGATCATTTATGTTCCACCACTTTATAAAACTCCAGTAATATAATTTTATAAGAGAAATGTTATAATGAAGTAGACACCCCAATATTGCCATCCATGTGTAGAGACGATGATATCTCCATACACAGGATGAGCACAGAATACCACTGACATGACTCGTATTGTGCTATAATCACCTTGTGTATGGAGCATGAATGGTGTCAGCAGACAGTGTGAGGAATCAGCATTGCTAGTGATTGGACGGGATGATATTTATCTGATATTCTATTTATCTCTGCTGATAAGAGCTCTGTACTCATAGGAAGTAATGGGGAGATCCCCCAACACTGAATAGTCGATGGTTATGTCAGATGAAAGAAATTTGTATGAGGCTCTGATTGGTCATTGCAGTAAGATCAGATCCCCCGTGTATGACTTCCTATTATCTCATCTATAATAATAGATGTCAGACTAAAGCCGAATATAAATTAGCGAAAATGTGCTCAGTGGGTGGCCTTGTTTGCCATCAGTATTACATTGTACGAGTGAAATATCAAGGAAGTCGGACTGAAAATTGTTGACAAAACATCACATCCAATAAGATGCAGGCATTGTTCAAATATTTTCATGGCCAGCAGGGCCGACTGTCAGAATATAATAGACACAGCAGGAGAATAATCCCTCCATGCTGTTAGCATGTATGGAGGAATCTGTGATGTTTTTTGCTAAGTGTGAACAAATAAAATCCTCTAGCGTATGTTCAGATGAAATCTGATGATTACATTTTAAAGCCTTCAGAATAAGAATGATTTCATAGCTGATAACAGAGTGATGAGCTTCTAAGATTAGAGAACAGTCTGGGATTGGCTGCTTAGGGAGTCCAATAATGAGATCCATTTTGTTTTCATTATGAGAATTATCTTTTCATGGTTGGACTGTTAACCCTCCAGGATCAGCTGTAGTAATGAAATGGCGCACTGACTGTTCTAAATGGCCGCCTCTAAACATCTTTTTTTTCTTATACCCATGTTCACCTGCGAGTGCACGAGCACATTAACTGTGGTCACACTGCCATAGGACAGCTTACAAGAGTAAGCAATGACTGCAATGAGCAGATGGCTCTCCCCTTCCTGTCATACACAGAGCCATTGTGAGAGGGGGAGAGGTAAGTTCTGATCACAGTCAGTGTCATTGTTCTTTCATGCTGTGCTGCCCCAATGTTCAAATGTACACTACTGAGGAGATGTAGGGTGAAGGATAGTGGTGAACCATCATCTTCAAGGAAGTAGTGCAGACAGAAACCTTGAGTGATTGTGATCGGAAACATTTGGTGAAATGAACTCCTCAAAAAGCAACACTAAAACTCATGGTAATGTTTAATAGTGGAAGTAAAAGTATTTCCAAAAACACAATGCCAGGGGATCTCAAGAGATTGGGACTAAACAGCTGTGTAGCCTTAAAATAAAACTAACCAGTGAGGCTAAAAGAAATCTCACCGCTCCAATTCCTTAGCCACCATCAGGACTAACCAGTGAGGCTAATTGAAAAAAGGCTTCAATTTGCTAGAAAGATTCCACTTTGAAGCAATGGAAAAAGGTTGTGTGGTCTGATGAGTCCAGATTTACCCTGTTCCAGAGTGATGGGTGCATCATGGTAAGTAGAAAGGTGGATGAAGTGATACACCCATCATGTCTAGTGCCTACTATACAAGCCAGTGTTATGTGCCCAAAAAATTAGGTCAGCTGCCTACCTGAATATACTGAATAACCAGGTTTTTCCATCAATGGATTTTCATTTCCCTGATGGTACATTGGACATATCCCACAATGACAAAGCTAGGATCCATCGGGCTCAAATTGTTAAAGGAGAACTATGGGGTTAGGGCTTTTCCCCATAGTTCTCCTTAGGGTAACAGGAGGACACAAACTAGCATTCTCCCGTCACCCTAAGCTCAGTATATAGGGAGCTACAGCTTGCGGTATACTGAGACCCCGCAGCTGAAGCGGATCCTGACAATTATGTCTGGATCAGCTCAGCTGCGTGAGTGACAGCTGGTTCTGCCTATCTTGAGGCAGAGCCAACTGTACCCGCCCCCTCCCCGTCCGTTCCGCCAGTCAGTGCTCGAGGATTGTAGCGGGGAAGAGGGGAATCCAGCCACTCCCCTGTCACGGCAGAGAGCTGTGACAGGATCGAGAAGTGAGCAAACGCCGGTATGTGTTCACTCACCTCCCGATCTACTGAGCCGACCTGTGACAGTCTCATTGTCACAGGTCGGCTAGAACTATGAGGTGAGTGAAAATCACTCACCTCATAGTTCTCCTTTAAAGAGTAGTTCAAGGAGCATGAGACGTCATTTTCGCACATAGGTTGAGTGCAGACCTAAACCCCATTGAGAATCTTTGGGATGTGCTGGAGAAGACTTTACGCAGTGGTCCGACTCTCCCATCATCACTACTAGATGTTGGTGAAAAGTTAATGCAACTTTGGATGGGAATAAATGTTGTGAGATTGCAAAAGCTTATTAAAACGATGGCATGGTGAATGTGTGCCATAATCAAAGCTAAAGGTGGTCAAACTAAATATTAGATTGTGTGTGACTTTTTTGGCCAGGGAATGCAATTCTTAGTATAACTGATTCAGAGTCAGATTCAGAGTATGATCCTGTAGAAAACAGCACTACATTAATGGCCACCTATGATTCAGAGGATGAAGAATTCCCTGAGACTAGAGTCAGGCCTCTTAGCAAATACCTTGGAGTGCCAGCTTCCCATAATGTGGTCATTTTGTGGGTGTTTGTACTGGCCTGGCACTGAAGGGCCTCTGAAAATGTTTTAGGTAGTCAGACAATCAGAATGGTAATTTTCACCCTTTGAAGTCTGAAGGGGCTCCTTGAATTTTGGCTTCTCTGTGCTGATAGCCTGCATGTGATATCCCCATACTCAGGAGGAGTAGAAAAATGTGTTTCAGGCTTTGTGAGTAATAACTTTGTGTTTTCTTTCTTCATTTTCTAAGAAATTATGACAAAAATACAAAATTCCCAATGCTGCAAACTACATACATTTAGGTGTCTACTTTCCAAAAAGGGGTCATTTTGGGGGGATTTGTTCTGTCCTGGTACTTTAGGGCCTCAAGAAAAGTGTGATGGGTAATCAGAACATCAGGGTGATATATTTATATATTTCAGATCTATATACCAGAGTTTGTAGACTCTATAACATTCACACAGATAATACTGATTTGGGTTTTACACTAAAGACATGTCTCAGAACACGTTTGTCCTAAATTTATAAAGACATTTCATTAGTTGATTTTTTTTTTTTTTTTACAAAAAAAGTAGAAAAGATATTTTAAAGTCTTAGAACTTTGTATATGGTAATATAAAATCTCAGTGGTTATACAATGCCACCAAAAGAAAGCTCTCTCTGTCTCCAAAAATGAGAGTAGTACATAGAAGGATTTCCCCATGCAGACCGCTCAGACACTGCGCAGTGCCTGGTGTAAGGTGACCAGATTTTCAAAATAAAATCCTGAGACAACCTACTGAACACTAATGACCACACCCACAAAATCACACCGTTTGTAGCCACACCCACATTTCTTTAACACCTCCTCAAACAAATAGTTACAAACATCTGAAACAAGAGGCAGATATTCAATGTATAAAGACAAAATAACTTAAAAAAATAGAGATGCACTGAAATTTCGGCCGCTGGAACATATCAGCCGGAAATTGCACTTTTGGCAAAATGCCAAAAGTGCCATCTTTTGGTTGAAATAGCAGTGCATCCCTGTTTTCTCTCCTCCCCGTTGGGAGCTGCACTGTGTTCCAGTGGGGAGGAGAAAAACTGTTACAGGAGGCCGAGCGGTGCAGGGGAAGAGAGCGCTGTGAGCGGCCGGCGTCTCTCCTCCTGGAGATAGCTGTCAGAGGAGACTGAGCTTTCCTCCACGCACCGCTTGCTCAGCCTCCGGTGACAGCCGATCCAGGATGGAGAGCGGGTACAAGCAGTCAGTGATCGCTGAGTGTTTGTAAATAATTGAGGACATAGTATGTTTAGTGTGTCCCCAATTATGAATCAATGGGAAGTGATCTACATCACTTCCTGTTCATTCTTGATTGTGGATATAGTAAACACACTAAGTCCACAAGTTATGAATGATCAAGAACACTCCGCATAGAGGATTCCTGTTCATTAATAACAGGGGCTGCAGAAAAATAGCTTTAGGACTCTGTGTTCTCAATCTCTTTTTCTATTTTAAAAGGGAAATATCAGGAGTCTGTTTAGACCCCTAACATTTCCCAGAGCCCCGACAGTAAAGTTAAAACAAATATAAATATTATTTAATAAAAAATTTGAAAAGGTTAGACATTTTTTTTATGGTTTCGGCCTGACTTTTTTAAAAAAAATTATGTGTTTTTCTGTTTTGAAAATTTCATTTTAGTCCACCTCTAATAATAACAACACTAGCTAGCAATCTGCCACCCAGCATGCATGCCCAGTCTTGCTCCGCTCCCCTTCTGCTTTTACTGTGAAGATTTTATAACGCAGAGTGCAGAGATCAGTGGTGTAACGCAGAGGTCACCACCTGATTCAGGTGCTCTGCACTCTTCCTCTGGTGGTGGTGGGGGGGGGGAGCAGCAAGGGTGCCTGCTTGTTCTGAGGTGAAGCCTCCAGCTGGGTTGTGGCGTCCTCACTTTAGGTCCCACGCCCCAACCCTATACAGCCTGTCAATTGTAGTTTCTGCAGCCTCCTTCTCCCACCAATGGCAGCAGAAGTGGGCGGAGGAACCTGCAAGTGGACACAGAGGAGCCGATCACCAAAGCACAGGAGCAGGGAAACAGTGTCTTCTCCTCCTCGGCTGCTGCTGCAGCAGCAGAGCGCCTGAGAGGGGAGGTGTGAAAAAAGTGCATGTCGCTGCCGCACTGGGGGACATTTCTAGCAAGCATCAGAGAAGCCGCCCCTGGGACCAGGACACTCTGGGGGCCTTTGAACACCCCTATCCCCCCCTTATCTACACCCCTGCCGCTCGCTGGGGCCTTAGTGAGGAGCGAGCGGCTCTCTAACGTGCTTTAATAGAGGACCACCGCTGCCTGATTGCGGCTAGATACCGTGGCCATCTGGTTTGGTGACCGACTACAATCAGGCAGCGGCGGCCCTCTATTCAGGCATATTAGAGGGCCGCACTCAGGGCCCTCTAATATGTCTGAATAGAGGGCCCCCGCTGCCTGATTGTGGTCATTCACCAACGATCCAGATCGGCCGGGCCTATTTGCAGGGGAGGGCCTGGCTCGGCAGCTCCACCCGCCCCTACGTTAATCCGGCCTTGTCTGTATTTATAATAAAAACAAGTATTTCCATGAACACATCTTATCTGATCATTCAGTGACCTCATCAACAAATGGATGGAGAATTTCCTCCTGAGATCACACATAAGAGCGAAGATATAGGTAGTGCTGGGCTCTTGTAGCTCTGTAAGGTAAGAGACCCCACAGACACTGGACCAATACTATCACTGCTACGTGTCAAGTAATTAGTCATTTCTCTGCTGATCATTCCAGTTTAACACAGAAATGTGATTATTCATAGTTATTCTTTACCTCAAATTCTTGATGTTGTGAAGAGCCGGTACAAGTTTCCTCAATCCTTCATTCTGAATATTACATGAATGTAGATTTACTTCTTTTGTTTCTCTGCAGGATTGAAGGATAAAAGAAAGCACAGAGCAGTCCAGAGGGCTGAGGGGGACTTCAGAAAAGTCAACTTTGTTTGATGCAACACATTGTGACACCAGAGCCTTATTCCTGCTCTCATGGAGATAGTAGAAGACATTAAGAAGATCTCTCTTGTCTCCTCGTTCTTTTCCCATTTTCTTCTGGATCCAGGTGATGACACGTCTGGCAGCCTGAGTAGACAATTCTCCCACATGAGACTTTAACATGGATCTAGTAGAAGAGTCAGAGAGACCGCAGAGGAAACGGATAAATATTTTAGCACGACCGTCATTGTGAGATTTAGCATTATCAAGTGTTTCCTGTAATCTGTCCGGATTATAGTTCATGAAATGGACTAAAGCAGCAAAAAACTCCTGAAGAGTGAGATGTAAGAAGGTGTAATCCACATCAGGAGGCTGACCAGATTCCATCATGAAACATGAAAAGAGATGTTTATCATTTCTCACACTGAAGGAGTCCAGATGACGCTCATCAAATACAATCATGTGACTCATGACTCCATGTTCTGCCATCCTCCCAATAGATGTCAGCAGTTCCCGGGCAGGGTGACTATCATCTTTATTCTGGCTGTGATTGGCCAGAATGTTGGAGACAAAAGTCACAAAGAGTTGTGTCACTGTCTTCGGCAATGATGCCATGAGCTGATCAGTGATTGTTGGTTGGGCTCTGAAGCACATTGATAACACTGTACAGATGATCCAGCAGTATGATGGGATATAACAGAAAGTGTACAGCGTGTCATTCTCCTGCACATAATGAAACGCCTTTCCTGACAATTCCTCATTTCCAAAAAAATTATTAAAAAAGGTAATTCTGTCTCCATGGAGAAATCCCATGATGTCCACTATTCTCTGGAAAACACAAGTATCAACTGAGGCCAGTCTGGTTGGACGGCTGGTTATCAGTACAGAGCAACCCTTAAGAAGACTCTGCCTCACCAAACTGACCACAATCTCACCAAAATCTGTTCTCTGTGTTGTATTAGACAATTTGCTGGATCTTAAATCCATTTGGTGAACACTTTCATCTAAGCCATCAAATAAAAACAGAAGTCTCTCTGGATGTTGTAAAATATCTCCAATCTGACTCCTCAGATATGGATATTGTTGAAGAATCATCTCCTCCAAGCTGACCTCTCCCAGTCTATTAAGGTCCCGGAATCTGAAGGAGAAGACAAAAGCAAATCTCTGGTAGTGTTTTCCGGTCACCCAGTCAAAGACAATCTTCTGTATCAGTGTGGTCTTCCCTATTCCTGGCACTCCGCTCACCATTACTGCATGTGGTATACGTTGTGACTGGTGGCTCCAGCGGAACAGCCTATTGGGGGAAATGTGCTCCAGTCCACATTGTGTTTCCTTCAAGCATTTCTCATGTTTCACCCCGGTCTGTATTAGCTCATTCTGGGGACGCTGCCTGAACTGATCTGTGGAGACTACAATCAGGTTCACATAACGCTCATTGATGAGGAATCTTTGTGGTTCCAGGGTAGTTCCTGGAGGTCTATGCTCCACTAGAGTCTCAGTCTTCTCCATCAGATGTTGTTTGTGCTCCATCTGAATTTCTGAGAAGAAATAAAAACAAGTGACTTAGGTTAAAGCAAATGTTGGAAGCACTATGGGAAGGCAATTACTCCCCTGGAAAGTATCCTTTGACATTGGCATATATTAAGTAATCCTCCCTTTTCATTTGTTAGGACTCAATCTCATAATCAATTCACACTTTATGTAAATAAAGAGGACTTCATAATGTAACTTGATTTATAACACAACATCCAAAAAAGCTTAACACCATTCATCTCATACTTGTGAAGTGCAACCAGCATGTAGCATGAGGGCCAGGCTAGCTTCCCCTCATAACTATAAGATACAACAGCATCTTGGAGGCTTTTGGAGATTACCTGGTTATGGGTAGTCCCTAGTAAGACAACCACTTACCTTCCTTTACACTTATGAAATGCACAATTAGGTACCAGTTTAGGGGCTAGTGCATCTACACCTCAGAACAACCTGTACAGTTCATAGGATGTTTCCTATGATTCCCCTATACCCCTACACAGGCTTAATTGTGCACTTGGCATCCAAAGTAAAGCTCCTCATGCTTTCCATAGACTAGAACAGGAGTGGAACACTCTAAAGCCAGGTATACAAGCTTTGACTTTTGTCTGGTTCTTGATAAATAAGCTGAAATTTGCTGTGACTGGCATCCATCAATCAGCTGATCAAAGGAGCATGTCGGAAAATTCTTGGCTGAACGGAGCTAGCAGCCAATTAGTTATATCAGGGTATTCTGACAGCGGCCACAAAGGAAACAGCAGGAGATTCCTCCTAGGTCAATGCTCGTAAGCCTTGATGGAGGAATCTGTGATATATTCTTCATGCAGCTGGTGGGTTAAATAAAGAAAATACAGTATATGTGGGTATCAGTGCTAATTTTGACACCAAATTTAATTTTTGTCTTAGACGAAAATACATTTTTATTTTTAGTCATCAGATTAATTTTTATTTAAGTCTAGTTTTAGTCGGCGAAAATCTAATAGGTTTATTTTTAGTGTAATGCATTATTTAAACAATTTTCTAGCATTTCTAAACTTATTTCATTATATATTCCTGGAGTAAATCTCAATTAACCTGTTGTTAGTTACGGTATTAAGGTTTGAACATGCAATACAGACACAGATTTAGTCGCTATGAATAGAATGTCTTTATTTATCTTCAAATTAAAACCAAGTTTCATAAACTAAGAATATTACTTTTTCACAAACAGTCGTGCAAATTTATATTTAAAAAAAAAGAAACTTTATTGACTTCAATGCCATTGCACATATCAGCTGAATATAAAACATTAACAGTTCTCTGTTTATTATGAAAGCAAGTATCATGTACGTTACTCAACATCACCACAAAAAAATATCTGCAGCTAGCACAGCCATAGTATAATGAAACCCATTCTCATGAGTTATGTTTATATCTAGAGGAGGAATCAATCAACTGACTATTCTAATTTTGAAATACCTTCAAATAAAAAGGTCACAGGCTACAATGCCATAGTGCATCATACACTCAAGCTGGCCATACACCTAGAAAAACAGCAGATAATCTATATCGTCAGATGGAAAAAGTGCAACAGATTCCTTCATCTGTGTTAAACTGTGTTGTTGGAGGAATCTCCCACTAGGCCACTAGGCCCCGGCCCTGCTGGATTTCAAAATACCTGAACAATGCCTGCATCTAATCAGATTGTTCAGGTATTTTGACAGCCAGCAGGTCTGACTAGCAAGATACTGAAGCTTGGTCTAGTGGGAGATTCCTCCATCCACACAGTTTAGCATAGATGGAGGAATCTGTTGCAGTTTTTCCATCTGACCATAGAAAATCTGCAGATAATCTATAGGGGGATTCGATACGGTGCCACATAAACGCTTGTTATACAAGCTAAGGGCTATGGGCATAGATGAATTAGTGTGCACATGGATAGAAAACTGGCTACAAGAACGTGCACAAAGAGTATCGGTTAATGGCACCTTCTCAGACTGGGCGGAGGTTATGAGTGGCGTGCCCCAGGGTTCTGTGCTAGGTTCCATGCTTTTTAACCTATTTATTAATTATATCGGGGAGGGAGTGAGTAGCTATGTCAGTGTTTGCTGATGATACAAAAATTGGGAGGGTAGTAGACACGGATTTAGACATTATAACATTACAAGAGGACCTGGATAAACTCGGGGAGTGGGCAACTGTATGGCAGATGAAGTTCAATGTCGATAAATGTAAGGTAATGAACCTTGGAGTTGAAAATAGGCAAATAGACTATACACTTAAGGGTGTGCCACTAGGGAAGTCGGAAACGGAGAAGGATTTGGGGTTCATTATAGACCGCAGATTGAAGAACAGCTCGCAGTGCCAGACTGCTGTAAAAGAAGCAAGTAGAGTCCTGTCATGCATTAAGAAGGGAATGTATTGCAGGGACAAGTCTATCATTTTGCCACTTTACAGATCACTGGTTCGGCCACATCTGGAGTACGCGGTCCAGTTTTGGTCACCGATACTCAGAAAAGATGTCCTTGAGCTGGAAAAAGTCCAGAGGAGGGCAACCAAACTCATTAAGGGGTTGGAGGACCTGAACTATGAAACAAGGTTGTTAAAATGAAATATGTTCTCTTTGGAGGTTAGGAGATTAAGGGGGGGCATGATTTTCCTGTATAAACTATTCAAGGGTGAAAGCAACATTATGAACAAACTGTTTACGGTCAGCTCCGTAACAAAGACCAGAGGGCACAACCAAAAATTGGTGGAAAAAAAATGTCATCACACAGGGCGCAAGGGGTTCTTCACAGTTAGAGCGGTTAAGGTCTGGAACTCAAGGCCACAGGAAGTGATCTCAGCTAAGAGTGTGGAATCATTCAAGAAACTCTTGGACGCGTTCCTCGTAGACCATAATATACAGGGGTACAGGTACGCCTAAGAGCAAAATCACACATGGACTAATACACACACCTGCTCAAACATAAATGCACACACACTAGGTTGGACTTGATGGACTTATGTCTTTATTCAACCTCAAATAATATGTAACTATCAACTCTTCTAATTTTTTCTCAGCATTGAAAAAAGAGGACATATCCCACTAAGAACAGACTAAGAACAGACTAAGAACAGTTTTTAGTGCTATTCACTATTTCCATGGCAACATTATACATCTCACGGTAAATTACCAGTCTATTCTTAGTGGGATATTTACCTTTTTTCTCAATGCTGAGAGGAGTTGACAATCCAAGTAATAAATAAGTTACTGGTCTCTTCTATTTGTCTCAATTCATTGTAAGGAAAGCACTTCATGCCAATATGACTCTTGCTTTATTCTGCAGGCCTCTACTGAGGTCACCTATGACACTGAATACCCTCTCTGCAAACGCTTGGGAAGCTGGCATAGCCAACAGGTCCAAAGCAAAAGGTTTCAGTTGGTGATAAACAATATCACTCTGTGCCAGCCACAAATGTATTCCAGAGTCATAATTCGTGATAGGTTGCTGTGAAAGCTCTTCCTTATATTTTATGATCTGCTGCCTTATGCTGTTGGTGGAGGACCTCTGCGGAATTTTGAGAGAAACCAAAAGATAGGCTGCTTTGATGTGGATGGTGCTTCTTCCTTTGATGTCTCACCATTTTCCTTTTCTTCATCATCTTCAGACTGATCCTCATCTTCTGTGTGCGGCATTGACAATGTTGAATTTTTCAGCACATACTTCTCTGTCTGTGAAAGCAAACCCTGAGTATCACCATCAGCCACATCAAGAAGGGCTTTGCAGATAGAAGGGGTAAGAAAACAAGCTGCTGCAGCAAGTGGAAAGAACATTTCATTAGTTGGATCTAAGAGGGAAGCAAAACGTTGATTCACATTCCCTTTCATTTTTTGTGCAAGGTGGCTAAGTAGATCAAAGAGGGCAGAGACCACCATGGACAAAGTGTCACTCTGGAGAGTTTTAATATGTTCTGCAAAAGGAAGTAGTAGTTCATGCACAGATGTAAGTTTTTGCCATTCACTAGGGAGCAAGCTGTCCCATCCCATGTTGTTTGCGATTTGGCAAACAACACTTTGAGTCCTTCACTTTGAGAGTCATGTGATCATGTTGAATGTACTTGAACAGCGTGTGGGGCAGTCATTTATAACAAGGCCAGATTGCTTGAATATCTTTTGTGTTGCAACACTGGACCTGTGGAAGAGTTTCACTATTGACCTTGCTTTATCAAGGATTCTGTTAACACTTGCCTAATTCTGCACCATGTAGACCACAAGTTGTAAGGTATGCACCACACACGATGTCTGGTCCATGTCGATATCTGGGTACCTAACAAGAAGAACACAACCAAATAAGCAGAAAGTATGGAAATATAATATATAGAGTATGGACAATGACCCTAAGCACAAGGCCAAGTTGACCCTCCATTGGTTACAACAGAAAAAGGTGAAGGTTCAGGAGTGGCCATCACAGTCTCCAGACCGTAATATCTTCGGGCCACTCTGGGGAGATCTCAAACGTGCAGTTCGTGCAAGATGACCAAAGACTTTGCATGGCCTAGAGAGGCATTTTGCCAAGAATGGGAAGCTACACCATCGGCAAGAATTCAGGGCCACAACTACTACAAAAGACTGCACGCTGTCATTGATGCAAAAGGGGGCAATACTCAGTATTAAGAACTATGGGAATGCAGACTTTTGAACAGGGGTCATTTCATTTTTTTTATTTGTTGCCATGTTTTGTTTTATGATTGTGCCATTCTGTTATGACCTACAGTTCAATATGAAATATCCTATAAGAGATAAAAGAAACGTCTTTTGCCTGCTCACTCACTTTTTTTTTAAAAATGGTGCAAATATCACCAATTCTCCAAGGGTAGGCAGACTTTTGAGCACAACTGTACTTTTACATGAGATTATAAGTAAAGTGGGAAAATTACAAAGATACACCACTAGAGCAGACCCCAACATCAGACTCATATCCATGTGATAGTGACACTTAACAATGGCTTACCGCAGATCATCAAGTTCAGAGTCAGAGTCACATTCCACCATGGGGAACTCTTCCTCTCTAGAGCTGGGTTCTTCTTCTCTTGCTGCTGTGGTCGTGTGTTTATTAAATGCTGCCATCATATTACTCCCATTGTCTGTTATCACTGTAAGAATCTTCCACTTTGGTATGTCCTGCTCTTGCATGCATTTGTCCACACATGACTTTATTAATTGTGCAGTGTGTGGGTGTGCTACTTGTTCAAGAGCCAACAATATGAGTTTAGATGTATTTTGTTCAACACAAAAGTAGCATGAACTTATAGCAAGAAAATAAGTCCTTTTTTTGTCCACAGTTCAGTGCAAATGGATACTCTCCGGGCAGAAGCCAGTCGCTTTTTGAATTTTTGCTCCTCTACTTTATAGTGTTTGTCAATCAGATTGTTTATTTTACATTTCTTTGGAACAGTCAGCCTCCTATCTACTGTCTCCATCATTTGAACAAAGTCTTCATCTTCAATAGTTGTGGCTAGTAATAATGTGCGCCCAATCCATTTTGCCATGGCCTCCTCCCTAACTTGTTGTTCCTTAGATTCATTTTTGTACTTTGAAGACTTCAGAAGAGCTGTTGAAATATTATGCTAGGATGTTCTTCTAGCTGTATTTGTAGTTGTACTACTACTTTGTGACCCATCAGTGGAGGTTTTTATTATCTGTGGGGTTGAATAAGGGTAAACAAAAACAAGTTCTGATTGTTCTTTCTCTCTCACCCATACACAGGTACACACGTCAGTCTCTATAGTATACTACATTTATGCTTACTTCCCCAACCATATGTCTCAAATTAAAGGGTTAGTTTCTCTCATCAGGACAGCCACGGTTTCTTTTGGCTTGTTTTAAGTTTAGCAAAAACACATCAGTTTATGTTACGTGACAAAATAATGTTGGTTTAAAGTCCATTTCCACCTTTGTAAGTGATTAGCATTTATTGTGGTAATACTAATAAAGAGATTATGTATACATGTGCATGACTCACATTGCAGGCGTTCACCTTTTATAAAGGTTTTATTAGGAGTGAAGCCTAACAATTCAAAATTATTTACAGAAAATTTAGTCTGACACTGTTGGTGGGGGATTGTACAAAATCTTTTGCCTAGCATAGAGACAGCTATTTTCCATGAGCATATGAGTGTGCATGAATTTCAGAATGAGTAATCTTCAAATGTTGCTTGAAGTTTGTTGTGTTTTTACTGGTGATTGATGCTCCACATGGTTTACAAAGGGTCTTGTTCTCATCAGCATCAAATGTAAAATGCATCCATACATCTTCTCTTCTATTTCTCCCTGCTGACATGATGTCTCCTGTACAGTTTGTGCTTTGTGGCTGTGCAGCAAGTTCTGTGTTAGTTGATGTCCCGCTGGGTAGATCAGTAACCGAATTGTGCATGTCTGCCCAGTGCCTACTTCCAGGAAGAGGAAGAGCTCAGAGAACAGGAAGTTGTCATGCCATTGCCTGTCCGATTTCTGTTTCATTTTCATTCGTTGACGAAAATGCACCACATTTTTGTCATCGTTTTAGTCTCGTTAACTGCTCTAGCATTTTGTTTTGTTTTTGTCATGGAAAAACATCCAAATGACGATAAAAAAAAAGAAAATGTTTAGTCAATTAAATTAACACTGGTGGGTATACCCGACTTAACATTCCTATGAAGGTTCATTGGATGGACACCGGCTACTCCAGCCCTCACAAGCAGCAAGGGTGCATACACACTTAAAAATGTATAGTATTATGATGTTTGGGGATATTAGCACAATGGTGAGCTCTTAATGACCAGTCTCAAAGTTGTTTTAACATAAAAAGGACAGTCTTTTACTTCTTCCATAAAAGGAAGAAAGTAGCTTTCTTCAGTAAACAACACAAGGTCTGCTTGTCTTTCAGCAAACAGAACATTTTACAATGTCTCACCGACTCAAGGTTGTTGCATACACTCCATGTGTCCCAGTCGAAGGTCTCGTTCACACCTAGGCGTATTGCATATGCGCGTCTGTCGCACGATCGTCGCGCGTTTTTTTACCGCGATTCGCGGTAAAAAAGTCGCGCGACCGTCGCGCGTTTCCAAAGGCTACTTAGTTGTATCCCAATGGAAACGCGCAACAAAATGGCCCAAAGTAGTACCTGTACCTTTTCAGGCGTGGGCCGTTTTGTAGCGCGTTAGGGACGGGCAGAAATACGCCAAGGTGGGAACGAGACCATTGACTACAATGGGATTTATATTTTTGAGCGTTTTGTAGAGCGTTCGTCGAGCGTAGAACGCGCTACAAAACGTTCAGGTGTGAACGAGGGCTTAGGACTTTAGGGTTTTTTTTCAACAGAGCAACAGTCAACAGCAGTGCTCAATACTGTTAAGCAGCACCCAATGGCTTTCCACACATCTCATGTGACTCTTACACACATCCCTCGTGTGTCACAGGCTCTCTAAGCCTCCTTGGATATCTCATGTCCCCTCAACACATGGAGTCACCTGGCTCCACTCTGACTACTGGGTGGAGTCTTCCTGACTACTGAACAGCCACCTTCGCTGTTTCCAAGGTGGAGCCCCGAACATTAGCCAGCACCTTTTCCATAAGGGCTGTGCACAGGTGTGTAATCATTGGGTGCTGGTCACTACTAATACACGAACTCAGGAATGGAGAGTTCATCCCTCCCAATTCTCTTTGAAATCTTCCAGTTCCAGTATTCCATGCCAAATTCAGAAAACCTGGAAAGAACTAAAAAGCCAGTTCGTTCCCTCTAAAAGTGCTTGCTTCCCAGAACTGCTCAACCCCTCTGGCTGAGAGTCCTGGGGGACTGTGTTGCCAAATTACACCGTAGCACTGCCATGGACTGCCATAGTGTATTATCTCTTCATCCTAGCTCATACAGATTTAACCTGAATATGTCTAATTGGGATACATTACTATGAATTATTTACTTGCATAGGTGATTATCTACAATGTCAAAATATTTCATATTAATAAGTGCACAATTTTTCATAAATCAGACTTTAGTGCTTTGAATCCTATGATGGAGGGGAAACAAGGTCAGGGTAGAAAACTCTACACTTTTCTCTCTCTGTATATGTATATATATTTATTAGGGATGCCACTTTTTCAGGCCCAAGTACAAGTACTTCCCATCATGTACTTGCCGATACCAATTACCGATACTTTTTCTTAAAGGGACAGGTGACTTTAAATGATCCATAGTACAACTACATGTTATGTACTATGGATCATGATTTAACCTATTCATGTTAGCAGGGGAGAATTGTAACTCTATTGCTGGAGTGTAGTGGAGGTGTGTGCTGTATATATGTACTACATATACATTACACACGTCCAGTACACTATAGCAATAGATTTATAGCTAGCCCCGTCCCAGCTTCCCTCACTCACAGTTTCACTCCGATCCCTGTTGCCTCACGAGGTGCCTCTTGTAGTCGGCGCTGGGCAGGATCACTGCATCGTGTCTCGGTGCTCAGATGTGGGAGGCGCTCGCAATTCTGCCCTACTAACATGAATAGGTTAAATCATGACCCATAGTACATATACAGCACATACGTCCAGTACACTGCAGTAATAGAGTTACAATTATCCCCTGCTAACATGAATAGGTTAAATCATGATCCATACTACATAAGATGTAGTTGTACTATGGCTCCTTTAACCTATTCGTGTTAGCAGGGGATCATTGTAAATCTATTGCTGCAATGTACGGGACATTTGTGCTGTATATGTACAGTACATATAGAATTTACTGCAGCAATAGATATACAATTCTGCACTGCTAACATGAATGGGTTAAATGATCCGTAGTACACGGCTACATATCATGTACTATGGATCATTTAACCCATTCATATTAGCAGGGGGTAATTGTAAATCTATTGTTGCAGTGCATTCTATATGTAGTATATAGTACATGCACATATAGAGTGCACTGCAACAATAGATTTACAATTACCCTTTGCTAACATGAATGGATTAAATGATCTCTAGTACAGGGCTACATTCAGATCATTTAATCCATTCATGTTAGCAGAGTATAATTGTAAATGTATTGTCTGCACTGTATTAGCAGTGTGTACTCTATATGTACTCTATATGTAGTACATACAGTATAGAGTATATACTGCTAATACAGTGCAGACAATACATTTACGATTATACTCTGCTTAATAGTGGCCCCCCTCCCCCTGTCCTCACTCACTGTGTCGGTGTTCGAACACCGGAGAGAGCAGTGACGAGTCAGCGCTGGTCCGGTGGGAGGAGCTCCAGGTGGGGTTCTAATTTAGCTGGCTCAGAGGTGCTGGCCAGCTAAATTAGAACCCCAATTGGAGCTCCTCTCGCCGGACCAGCGTTGACTCACCGCTGCGGTTTTTTTCTTACCTCGCCGAGCGTCACGTCACTGCTGCTCCGGTGGGTGGCTCTCCGAGCGGGGTCATCTGGCAGTCTCCAGCCACCTAAATTAGGACCCCACCTGGAGCTCCGCCCACCGGAGAAGCAGTAACGCGACACTCGGCGAGGTAAGTAGGAAAAAAAAAAACATAGCGCAAGCTTCGGCGCTATGTATCGGGGCATTTTGACAAGTACAAGTACTTGTCAAAATGCCCTGTATCGGTCCCGATTCTGATGCTAGCATATCTCATCACGTCATTGTGGGACTCAAACTGCATTTAAGTCATTGTGGAATCAGTACTTGAATAATGGAGCTTATACAGTATATGCCATATGTATTTCATGGTTGATTTTGTGATGGTTTTCGCCAACATGTTTTCAATGTTATTAATAAAGCTTATTTTGTTTTAATTGAAGGCCTTGTCTGCATACCTTAAAAGCCCCCACTAGGCTAAATGCCTGTTTTTGTGTTTGTACTCCATAGCTATGAGGTGTGGTATCATGGCCTTCCTGTGCTGAACATTATCCATAAACAATTCATCCACACTGCTCTGCACAGCCGGGTCTGCCTCTCAGCAATGACACATATGCCAAACTGAAAATAGGAGATCTACCACCCCTGCCTGCAGGTCTAGGTATCCATGGCAGTATGCACCCTGCCACAGATGGCATGATCCAGAGGCAGGCATATATTTAATCTAATG